ACAAGTGGATAAAGAAAATGTGGCATATATATACCATGGAATACTACATAGCCATAAAAAGGAATGAGATAATTGCATTCACAGCAACCTGGATGGAATTGGAGACTATTATTCTAAGTGAAGTAACTTAGGAATGGAAAACCAAACATCATATGTCCTAACTCATGCGGAAGACAAGCTATGAGGACACAAAGGCATAAGAACAACACATTAAACTTTGGGGACTCGGGGGAAAGGGTGGGGAGTAGAGAGGGATAAAAGACTACATGTTAGGTGTGGGGTACACTGCTTGGGTGATGGGTGCACCAAAATCTCAGAAATCACCACTAAAGAACTTACTCAAGTAACCAAACACCACCTGTTCCCCAAAAACCTATTGAAATAAAAAAATTAAAAATTGTAAAAAATTAAATTAAAAAAAATAAAAAGTATTTGGGGGAAAAATAATTCTGCCACTATATTATTGTTATTCTAAGAGAACCACTGTTGTCATTTGCACCAGTGTTTTTTTCTTCAGATATGTTTTACAAAGCTGTGATTGCAATGTGCATACATTTTTAAGACCTGTTTTTTTATTGACACACATCAAGTATTTATCTGAAGTTCCCTATAATCTTTATAATCATTATTTAAAATAATAGCATAAGGTTGGGCATGGTGGCACACAACTGTAATCCCAGCACTTTGGGAGGGCAAAGTAGGCTGATCCCTTGAGCCCAGGAGTTCAAGACCAGCCTGGGCAACATGGCAAAACCCCATCTCTACAAAAAAAGCCAGGTGTGGTGGTGTGTGTCTGTAGTCCCAGCTACTCAGGAATCTGTGTGGGAGGATTGCTTGAGCTTTGGGGGACGGAGGTTGCAGTGGGCCGAGACTGTGTCACTGCACTCCAGCCTGGGTGACAGAGCAAGACCCTGTCTCATAAGTTAATAAATAAATAAAAACCAAAAGCTTCTGCACAGAAGAAAAAAAAAGTAAAATCATAGCATAATATTCTAGGGAGTGGATTATTCATGCTATGTTAATTTTTTAAATTTTATCAATAACACCAATAAATATCTTCATGAAAATAGTTTGTTTCCCATATTGAAAAAAAAATTTTAGGCCACATTCCCAGAAGTAAGATTACCAGATCAAAGGGCATTAATATATACTGGCTACCAAAATGCTTTCTTCCAAACCACACTCACTAGGAAACTGAGTACCATCTTTTGCAATTATGTTAAATATAGGCTTAAAAAAGAGGCTTACCTAATTTTTTAAATTTGCATTTCTTTGATTAGTGGTGATGAACATTTTCTCATGTTTTCCAATTGTACTTAAACTCCTTTGTAAATTGTCTATTCATGTTCTTTGTTCATATTTCTTCTTATACATTATATTGTAGAAGTGGGTTAGATAATACAAACCTATTATACTTTGTCACATTTATGTCACATAGACTTTTTCAGACTGTGCTTAGATTTTATCTTAAAAGTAGCCAAAAAACCTTTTAAAAGTTATTTTGGTTTTAAAATTTTATACAGTCAGATTTGATCTTTTTCTTTGCGATTTTTAAAAATTACTTTCTAAGCTTAGAAAATTCTTCCCCTTTAGAAGCTTGATAAGTATCCATTCACTCTAGTTTTTTAAACTTGCTTTTTTATATTTAACTCTTCAATCTAGCTGTCATTTATTTTAGTTTATTACAGTAGATGAGAGTATAATGGTAGAAGCTGTCACAATACCATTACTCAACAGACCTTTCAACTCCCATTTACTTGCAATGCATCCTTTGTAATAAATTCTATACAACTGGTCTCTTTGTTGAGGGTAGGTATACTACAACTTATCTGTCTAATTTTATACCAGGGTTTTTATTATTGTAGTTTTGGATGCTTAATATCTAATAGTGTTAGTCCTTCATTACTCTTCTTTTGTAGAATATGCTCTGAAAATCATTCTTTTTTAGCTTTCAAATGCAATATTTGCTGTCTTACTCCTAAGATGCAAATTTCTTGCAGGTAGAATTGGTTTATTTCCTTAGAATAGATTGCCAAGAATATTGTTACTGGGGCAACTGGTATGAATATTTTTTTCCCATTCTTAACACTTCCAAAGTTTTCAAAAGGGATTGTGTCAATTTCATTGTAATCTTTCCACCACCTGGATATTTTGAAATAAAGAATTTTTTTTTTCAAATTTAGTCAGGGAAACAATATATCTTGCTTCAATTTCTGTATCTCTGCTTATTGGTGATGATAAACATACATTTGACATATAGTAGGTGCTTCAATGCTTGTTCAATGAATAAATGGCATGTATGAATCTGTACATATATTTGGGGATGGGAAGTTTAAACAAATATTGTGATTATAATAGGTAAATGCTGGCTAGATATAAGTTTGTAGCCTAAATGGCTGTAGTCCATCTACAGAGAGGTTCTAGATATGCCAAGAACACCATGAAATTCAGACCTAAATTGGGGCAATCTCTAGAGACCCTCTGTAATTTATATTCATTGCAGGAATGTCTGTTTCTATGCAGGATCAGCTGAAAGATGTTTAAAACAGTTAAGGCAACATATATGGGTAGCCCCATGTCTGTGTGCAGCTCAGAAGCAGCCATGCTAGGGTCAAGACAGAGTGTGCTTCCTTTGGCAGCAAAACAGTATTAAGAAGCAGAGTAGTCCACTGGAAAATGACCCAGGCCCTAGCAGGCTTTCTGATGTAAATTTAAATGCATAATAAACTGGATCTGATTCATAGGAATGGGTCTTTTCTATGAAGCCACACTACTTTTCTTCTCAACTTGCTAAGCCCAAGAGGACCTAGAAGTCCTTCATTCAGAGAAGCTCCGTTTTCTCCTTTCACTTTGTAGCCGGAAGGGGAGAGGTTCATTTGTTTCTCCTAGCAATCATTGTCTTTATTTTGAACTTAAAAAAAAAAAAAAAAGCAGGCTGGGCACAGTGGCTCTCATATGTAATGCCAGCACTTTGGGAGGCCAAGATGGAATGACAGTTTGAGGCCAGGAATTTGAGACCAGCCTGGGCAACAAAGCAAGACTCCATCTCTACCAAAAAAAAAAAAAAAATTATCCAAGCATGGTAGCACATGCCTGTAGTCTTAGTTACTTGGAAGGCTGAGGTGGGGAGATCCCTTGAGCCCAGGAGTTCAAGACTGCAGTGAGCTATGATTGTACCACGGCACTCCAGCCTAGGTGACAGAGAGAGACCTTGTCTCTAAAAAACAAAACAAGAAAGAAAGAAAGAGGCTGGGTGTGGTGGCTCATGCCTGTAATGCCAGCACCTTGGAAGGATGAGAAGGGAGGATCCCTTGAGTCCAGGAGTTCAAGATCAGCCTGGGCAACATAGGGAGACCTTGTCTTTATTTCAAAAAAAGAAAGAAAGAAAGAAGAAAGCAAGCAGCCAAGCAAGCAAAAGCTAACAAAAGGCAGCTTGTCTCTGTTTTAAAGACCATGTAAGACTCATTACTAAAACATTGATTTCTTTTGCTCTGTTGCCTAACTAGTAAATTCTAGTAGTAAACCCTTTCAAGGATTTCCTTGGCCCCAAAATCTGTCAATTTGATGGAAAAAAATTTGTGTTACTATCTTAACCTGCATATGCTGAAGTTGTGCTGTATTTTATTCTGAAAAACAAAGTGTTGTTTTCTCTTGACTCAAGAGCATCTAAAAGTATCAAGGTCATGGTTGATTGCATGAACAATTGATTTGTGAATAATGCATTGGCAGTTAACTACCACAGTGGCTTCATTCATCTCAGACAGAAGATTGATAAATTCAGAGTTTAAAAAAATCCTTCTTCCTCAGTGAAGATTAAGTACTACAGAAATATCAAAGTACCAAATGCTGAAGAAGGCCCAGAAATCCTTCTCAGACAGACTACTACAGTTAGACACATTAACATAAAACTCCAGAAGGTGGCTGGACATGGTGAGTCACACCTGTGATCCCAGCATTTTGGGAGTAGAGGCAGGTGGATCACTTCAGGTCAGGAGTTCAAGACCAGCCTGGCCAACATGGTGAAACCCCATCTCTACAAAAATACAAAAATTAGTTGGGCATGATGGCAGGTACCTGTAATACCAGCTACTCAGGAGGCTGAGGTGGTAGAATCACTTGAACCCAGGAGACAGAGGTTGCAGTGAGCTGAGATCAAGCTGCTGCACTCCAGCCTGAGCGACAGAGTGAGACCCCATCTCAAAAAACAAACAAACAAACACTCCAAAAGGACTTCTCCTGTAACTCCAAGAAGTACCTAGGAAGAGCCTTTTCACAAGCCTTTTGTCTTTGAGAGACATCTAACTGGGTTGCTACTTTCTTTACAGATGGCAGCATGAGCCCCCTTCTTGATTCTTCAGCCTTTTGTTTTAAACCTATTCTCATCAATTTCCCACCTTTTCAAAAATCTGTTTGCCATTTCTTTTAAGAACTAGCTCTAAAATTCACTTCTGCCAAGACTTCCATGATTAATTTCTTTCTACTGATAAGTCTCTTCAGCTCATACATATATTCCATTGGTACCATAACTAATGTTGTTTTCTAATTATTCTAATTTTGTTAATGTTTCTAGACTGTGAATGTTTCTAGTCTAAACATTCTAATTATTCTAATTTTGTTAATGTTTCTAGTCCCTTAAAGATGGGAATTTTTAGAAAGCTGAAAAGGAATTTAGAGACTGTCTAGTTGTATCCTTTGTCCTGTTCGTGTTACCAATGAAGAAACTGAGGCCTAGGGAGGATAATCTGTCCAAGTCAGTTAGCCAAGTTAACAGAAAAACTAGGTGTAGAGCCCAGGTGTCCTGACTTTCAACAGTGTACCTCCCACATATATATATTAGGTCATGTTTTTTCTGTTTCACTTGCATTTCTTCAGAATGCCTTGTAAACTGCCACATACACAAATGTCCCTCTATAAATGACAATACAGTAAGCATAAGAATTTACATAGTTGAGAAACTGACTAAAGGAAAGAGTCAGAAAACAGAAAGGTCATTTTCTTACTTCTTTGCATGATGCCACCCTCCAGACCAGTTAATCGCTATTTTGGACATTCCATCAATCAGGCACTGGGCAGCTGTGATTGTAGCTCCTCCTACAGCTGCTGCATAGTCAAATATCCCTTCAGTGGCTGGGCAGTCATAACCTTAAGGCAAAAATCAGAAGAGCTGGTTAAAAATCTGATGAACTGGGAAAAGAAGAGGAATAGGTTGAGGTGTGACAACATAACCTACTAAAAAGCCACTGTGCTAATATCAGCTCCAACTGATAGAAACAACTCCAATGTTTGGGATATAATTTTTTAAAAGGTTAGAGCTAGAAAGGATAAACCTTCATGATTAACTAGTCATGGGCTACAGATAGAGAAACCACGCCTGAGAGGTGATATGTTTTGTCAGTGGTCACACAGAGCCAGGCCTGGGATCCAGCTCTCTTGACCCCCAGTTCAGTGTTCCTCTGCTAAACCATGCTGTTTTTCTAGACTATCCTGCTGGTCACTTACAGTTTAAAAAAATGCAGCTGTTTGATGAGGGGTGAGATAGAAAACTCAGCCAGAACATAAATCTGTACTCCATTAAGATACAAGGTCACGGGACAGCTAAATCAGCCAATATATAGCCAGACCAGATCTGAGCACTGCCAGTAGGGCCTAAGCAACTGAAAGGTTTTCTTTCATCCGACCCATCATTTGGTTTTGCTCAACTCATATGGTTTGCTTTTTTAGTGAGTTATATGTGGCTAAACCCAAAGATTAAGATCGACAGTTAACACATGATTTCTTTTTCCTTTTTTTAAATGTTTTGATATGGGTAAGACTCAAAACACATGATTTCTTAATTAAAAATATAAAAAACCATCATACAAGTTATAGAAAAATTAAGTTGTCCATCTCCCATCAATGCCTAGTAATAACTTTACCTAGCCCATATTCTATGGAGTCCGGATGATCATCATCGCCCTCTTGGCTGACCTTCTGGAGATGCTGCAGATAAGCATCAGTGTGGAAGGTGGCCATCTCCTCCATGGAGGCCACTTTGGGCTTAACTACCCTAACAATGACAGAGAGAACAAAGAGGTGAGTGAGTCAGCCCCAGTATATGCCAGAAGTTAGAAACAGAAGCCAGAAGTCTGAGCAGAAAATGCAAGTCTCAACTTCTGTTTCCAATAGGCTGGAGCAACAAACACATTCTGTTCTTCCACTGCACTGTGCAGTCTTCACTACCTCACTTCTACGGTAATGACTCTGTTAATAAGGGGCAAGAGGATAGATTTTCCCTTGAGTTTATAGGTAGGTAAACAAAAGTAATTATATTCAAATAATTATATTCAAGTTAAATAATCAGGTATCAGACGGACTTTGTGAGTTACAACTTTCAGGACAAACTAGTAGGCAGGGAAATTTTCATTTGAATCAGTTGCTAATTGGGTTATATCATCCTTTCAACTATATCTTTATTTTAATAGGCAGCTATGTTATTCATTTTGAATTTGTAGGTAGAGAATTGAGTTCCTGTCCTAACTCTGTACTTACTAGCTCTATAACCTCAGGTAAGTTGACTGTTCTGTAGTTGAGTTTTTTCATTTGTAAAATGGGGAACTTTATGGAACTTATGTGAAGATAAAAGTATAGCATATACAAAAGTGCTTTGTGGATAACTATCATTACTATTAACGGATAAAAAATGGGCAACACAAAATGTAGAAAGTTTCTACACTTGGTCCCTCCTATCTGCCTCTGAGAGTGAGGAGAGAAGGGGCAAAATGGTTGCAATTGGGCTTCACTCAGAACCTCTCAACCTATTCACCAAAAATGACAATAGAAGCGAGTGAGAGAATAAAGGGAGTTAACCCGAAGCCTTACCACATCTAACCTCTAGCTGCCTATTCCCCATTTCCTCTTCTAGACCCCACAGGTGCCACTACTGTTCTCTAGCCCTTGCACTTAAAGGGCAGTCTGTGGACCAGCAGCATCAGCATCCCCTGGGTGCTTGTTAGAAATGCAGAACTTCGGCCGGGCGAGGTGACTCAAGCCTGTAATCCCAGCACTTTGGGAGGCCGAGGCGGGTGGA